CCCCCCCCCAAACCTTCCCAATTCCCCTTCCATGCCCTAAATATATTCTTTTCTACACTATATCCTGTTATGTTGCCCTGAATGTACTCTATTCTACACTATAGGCTGATACCTCAGGGGGAAGGGATAACTCAGCATGGGCCCGCAGAAGCACCCCCTTCCACCTCACCATACCTGGCTCTATCAAAGATATCCTTGGCTCTTTTTTTTTTTTTTAATAAAACAACAACAACCCTTATTTCTCTCTTGAAGTCAGTCATCTTTGTGACTCAAGAGTCCCAAGGAAAAGGGAGGCTTGGCTTGGCCAGGGGTGACCCTGGCACTGGACAGAGAAAGGAGGGTCAAAGTCTGGTCTAGCCTTGCTATGCAGCAGCTGACTCCCAGCATGGCCTGGAGTGGAAATGGAGGTCTGCTTCTGACGGCCTCCTGTCTATCTCCCTGGCCAGAGATATGGTGTGGAAGGAAGTATGGGGGCAGTGGCCAGTGGCCGTCTTCCTAGCTACCCTCTGCTGAGCACATCTGAGGACAGCCTTTCCTGGCCTGGCCCTGAGTCTCAGAGAGAGCCTGGGTGAAGTTGGTGAGGCCCCTGAGCCATGTTTCTGGTTACCCTTTCCCTTATAGGAAGCGTAGAAGGAGGAATTTGAAAAAGAGAGGAAGCTGGCTTCCTTGTGTTCATTTCCCTTTCCCTAGGCCTGGGAAGTGAACAAAGGGACCAACTGTGTGACCTCCTATCTGGCTGACTGTGAGACTCAGCTGTCCCAGGCCCCACGGCAGGGCCTGCTCTATGGCGTCCCCGTGAGCCTCAAGGAATGCTTCAGCTACAAGGTACACCCTGTTCAGTCTCAGCCTTCCATACTGCCTGTGTCTGGCTGCATCCAGCTCTGGGAGTCTTAAAGGACATCTCTGGTCCAGAGTCCTTGGGGCTTCTGTCTGGCCAGTGTGGTGGTGGTGGGTGTGTCCCTGGGCTGCTGAAGGGTCCTGTGGCATTGTTGGTGTCTTCTTTCCCCAAGGGCCACGACTCCACACTGGGCTTGAGTTTGAATGAGGGAATGCCATCTGAGTCTGACTGTGTGCTGGTGCAGGTGCTGAAGCTGCAGGGGGCCATACCGTTTGTGCACACCAACGTCCCCCAGTCCATGCTAAGGTTGCTCCCTCGGGCAGGCTTGGTCTAACCAGTGAGGTGGGAGGAGACAGAGGACAGTCGTTGAAGTGACCTGGGCTGATCTGTCCCTGCTTCCTCCAGCTTTGACTGCAGTAACCCCCTCTTTGGCCAGACCATGAACCCATGGAAGTCCTCCAAGAGCCCAGGAGGTTCCTCAGGGGGCGAGGGGGCTCTCATTGGATCTGGAGGCTCCCCTCTGGGTTTAGGCACTGACATTGGTGGCAGCATCCGGTTCCCTTCTGCCTTCTGTGGCATCTGTGGCCTCAAGCCTACTGGGAACCGCCTCAGGTAAGCTGGGGACAGGGAGGTCTTGGCCTCCTAAGGAAAGCATAACCTTGGCTGCAGGAGGGATTCACTAGCCTTTGGCAAGGGTGTGGGAGGGCATTAGTTACCACCAGCTGTGCATGGTTTTGCTTCCAGTGCTAGGAGGTTAGAGGCATGGCTGGGCTCGTGAGTATAGGGTAGCCAGCGCTTGTTTTCAATGTCTTGTGTTTCTGACCAGCAAGAGCGGCCTGAAGGGTTGTGTCTATGGACAGACAGCAGGTGAGTAGGTCTATGGTACTCTCCGTGCCCTGGAGGGTGTGTGTGTGTGGGTGGACATCTTGATTTGCCTTTGCCCCTGTTTTCCCCGTGGGTGTTAGCTGATTGCCAAGCCACTGTAAGTGTCAATCCTTACTGCCCTTTCTTGCTCACTCTGGAGCCATAGACCAATCCTTACTCAGACCTAGAACTCATCGTGGGGCCAAGTGACACCTCTTCCTTCCCTTCCTTACAGTGCAGCTTTCTGTTGGCCCCATGGCCCGGGATGTGGAGAGCCTGGCATTATGCCTGAAAGCCCTACTATGTGAGGACTTGTTCCGCTTGGATTCCACCATACCCCCCTTGCCCTTCAGAGAAGAGGTGAGTGGGCATGAGAATGGGCAAGGGGAGGTGGTGTGGGCAGGATGGCAGCTGCTACTACACCTGTGGCCACCAGGTGGTACCAGTGCCTGCATTTGAAACCTCTTAGGCTTTTCCTCTATGCTGCAGAGGACCACTAGTTAGGGACTACTTAAACCTCAGTAACTCCTAGGAAAACTCCTGTGTTGAGTTTGCCCTTGGGAGGTAGCGTTTATTCCTGCCCATCTCCCCAGAAAACAGGCTACCTGGCAAGTAGGCTGATTCATGTGAGAGCAGTGTGGAGTGTTGGCTACCTAAATATGACCAAGATAGGCCATTGATCAGACAGGACTGAACAACTTACTCCCTGAAGCCTCCCAAGTATCTAAGAGGGAAGGGTAGGGTGTAGCCTGCCTTAGCTGGATCTTTCAACGAGGAGTTGGGCTAGGATTAGGTTAGGACCATGATGCAATCGTTTGGGATGGGAATACAGAAAGAAGAGGAGCTTAAGGTGAGAGGTTCAGAGTCTGGTGAGCTGGTGTCCTTGACTGCTTGTCACTGATGAGCTGATAAAGAATCAGGGAATCAGGAAAATCACAGAGGTTATCTGTATCTATGTACAAAGCTTTTGGGAGTAGTTCCAGCGAACAGATGCAGACAGATGGACAGTGTATCTATCATTCGTGTCAACTATGGGAGGCAGGCTCCACTTTCCTTCTCCCGTGCAGGCCTCTTGCTTTTCTCAGTGAGGCTGCCTTGAAGGGTCCCCGTGTAGTAGAGTGGCATAGTTACTTTTAGGAGTCAGGGTGGTTGGGAAGGTCTGTGTGGAGTAGGCTTTTCTCCTTAGCAAACAGGTTCAAACAGTGGTAGCCCAAGCCCCTTCTGAGAGGCTTGGAAGTGAAGAGAGGTCTGGAAGAGCTTCTCACAGGAGTTGGGGCAAGCAACAGAACCTCCACTTCCAAGACAGAATGCATGGTTGGACTTCTGTTGTTGGATAGCCTGTTTCCTCCTATGACTACTGGGAATCCCCTCATTCCTGCTCTCCTGCACCAACCCTGCTTCCTATGTTTGCTTCTAGGTCTACAGAAGTTCTAGACCCCTGCGTGTGGGATACTATGAAACCGACAACTACACCATGCCCAGCCCGGCCATGAGGAGGGCTGTGGTAGAGACCAAGCAGAGTCTCGAGGCTGCTGGCCACACGGTATGGCATCTCCTCTTCTTCAGGGGTGTCTCCCATGGCCAGTCCCTCCCAGATCCCTTCATTCCTTGTTACTTAGTCACTTGGGCTGACAATTTTGGCTATGTGAGACCAGTCTAAAGATGGCTGAGGTGGGAGTACTGTGGTGAAGAGTTGGTGGGGGATGTGTGAGTGCATGCCTCAGTGACATATAGCTTTCTGGAGATTCCTGGGGACTTGAGACTGACAACAGGCCAGTGGGCTTGGTTTTTTAATTCTGAGACAACTTCATGTGTGCATCCAGACTTCTCATGAGGTCATAGGTCAATAAAGCTGACTTTGTAGCTTTGTGATCATATGGCACCGATCATCCTCGGGGCTGCTGGGGCTGTGAGTTATGGGAACCAAAGGCCTTGTAATATCTGTGGGCCTTCCCCCTCAATCTCTGCAGCTGTAATATCTGTGGGCTTCCCCCTCAATCTCTGCAGGTGGTTCCCTTCCTACCAAACAACATCCCCTACGCCCTGGAGGTCCTGTCGGCAGGTGGGCTGTTCAGTGACGGTGGCCGCACTTTTCTCCAAAACTTGTGAGTGCTGTTGGGCTTGAGACTCTAGGGTGGAGTTGGAACAACGCAGGGGCCGTGCTCAGTGGTCATGAGCACTGGGCGCTCTTCAGATGATCCAGGTTTGATTCCCAGCACTCACATGGCAGTTCACAACTGACTGTTAACCCAGTTCCAGGGGATCTGATGCCCTTCCTCGCCTCCACCAGGCACCAGAGCACACACATGAAGCACGGAAATATATGCAGGCAAACACTTATACACATAAAATAATAAAATAAATTTTTAAAAATGTGCAGACCCAGGGAGAGCAGCTAGGCCCTGTGCCCATCCCTGGGACAGGCCTAGCTGCACACATAGAAGATCTGGGTGGGGACCTTGCTGTCCTTTTAGCTATGCAAGTTGAACCTAGAGATACCACACCACAGAGACTTTGAAAAGGTGACATAAGATCCAAGGGGAGGCTGGATGGTAAATTCATAGCCTCCTCTGAGCTAAGCGCCCTGTGGTGTGCAGGTGTACAGAGGCTTCCCTGTTGTTTGTTAAGGAAGGGTGTTGGGTCTGGACAACAGCCATTCCTGAGCCGGGTCTTTCTTTTCAGGCCTCAGTTTTCCTTTTTCTGAGTGGGTGTGTGGAGCAAATTTATTTAAGAGCCTTACCCAATACTTGGGAGGCAGAGGCAGGCAAATCTCTGTGAGTTTGAGGGCAGCCTGGTCTACTAAGCAAGTCTAGGATTGCCGGGACTAGACAGAGAAGCCCTATTACAAAAAAAAAAAAACAACACAAAATAAATAAATAATAAATAAATAAATAGATATATAGATAAATATTAAATAAATTAATCTTTTTTTAAAAAGAGGCTTGGTAGAGAGCAGGTAGTTCCTCCCAGCTGTTGACAGGGGAGAGGCCTGAGAAGGCACCTCCTGGAGACACAGCTGGGCTGACTCAGGCAAGGAACCTGCTCTTTGGTCTCACTATAGGTTTTTGGGGAGCCTATCCTGAAGCCCCATTCAGAGATGTAGGCTGGCATCAGAGCTAAATAGAAAATGCTGAGGGAGATAGTTCCTGTATCTATCTAGTCTCTACTGGGGGCAGAGTCCAGGCACCCCAGTGAGCAGGAGAAACTGTGTGCTTTGGAAAGAGGCCAAGGAAGGATCTAGCTATCAGTACTCCTGGAGTTGGGTAAGGAAGGAGGTGGACAGTACCACTGAGTGACAGGGCTTACAGTCATGGGGAGGGAGGGAGAGAGGGGAAGGAGCATCTTAACTAAGCCTTTTGTCTTCCAGCAAAGGTGACTTTGTGGATCCCTGCTTGGGGGACCTGATCTTAGTTCTGAAGCTGCCCAGGTGGTTTAAAAGACTGCTGAGTGTCCTGCTGAAGCCTCTGGTGAGAGTAACAGGCATGCGAGGACACAGCCTTTGGGCCCCCATCTTATGGTACCTCATGGTCTCTGGCTCTTCCTCCCTTGGTCTGTAGGTCTGGACAGGCATGGTCTCCCCACCTCTTCTACCCTGACTGTTCTACTTTCCACTCTTTAACAAACCTGTTTGTCAAAACCTCCTGGGCCTGGGAGGTGAGAGGGCATGGAGGAAGTGGCATAGGTCACCGGTCACTGACTCTGTGTCTGTTCTGGTGCAGTTTCCTCGGCTGGCAACCTTTCTCAACAGTATGTGTCCTCGGTGAGAACTTTTCCTGTTTCCTGTATCCTAATGCCTGCCCCTGCATTTCCTCAGCTGCTCTAGTCTGAGTTCAAGTGGTTTTAACAGAAAAATCTCCGGGAGAAATAGATGCTAAGGTTGCAGTGTTCTAGGCAGGGAGGTAGATTCATGACCATCAGGTGGGACCCTGAAGCTGTGTTAAGACAGCTTCATCTGGATCACCTGAGGATGAGGGCAAGAGTGCAGAGCAGGCTGGTGACAGAGAGGGAAGCGTGGGGGAAAGGCCAGAAAGGAGTTAGCCCAAACTGTGGTGGCGGGGGGAACTGTGGGTACCAAGGAAATGCAAAAAGCTGTTAGGAAACTGAACTAAGCTGGTCTGGACCTGGTCCTACCTGACCCTTTGTGGCTGGTCTTCAAAAGCAGGACATGACCCACCCCATTCCCAACATGATGTCTGTGGACAATAGTCCTCTTACCTCCAGATATTAAGGACTTTTGACAGCCTGCCCTATCCTCTCTTGTAGCTCAAGAGTCATGAAGAGTCAGTCCTGGTCTAGTGCTGGTTTAGCTATGAAGTCACTAACCGACCCAGCCTGAGTCCCTTGAAATCCTAGGTTTTTCCATCTGGACAGCAGGGAGGGCCTTGATTTCTTCCCTCAGAGCTCCCCTGGGGATGGGTGAGATCTCGAAGCAATGAGAGTAGGGTGTATGGTGTTGCTGATGCTGATGCTATGGCTGTGATGGTGATGACCTTCCTGTATCTGCTCAGGTCGGCTGAAAAGCTGTGGGAGCTGCAGCATGAGATTGAGGTAAGGTCTGAGCCCTGGGGAGCAGGGGAGGGAGCAATTGCTCAGGGCATCTACCAGCAATCTTTTCTTCGCTACTCCCACTGGGGCCCTGGAGTGACCGTCTTCTTCTCCCTCCCCAGTGACTGTGGCTTGGGCCCTTCTGTGATGTTCATTTGTCTGGTGTCTGTCCTTAGAGTGTGGGTCAGACTTGGCTCCTGTCCTAATCCCCTCTTGGTTCCTCTAGGACTATCTATGTCCATGCTAGTAAGTGGCTCTGCTTTGCAGAAAGTATTTTGTCTGTTGTGGAAACAGTATCCTCCAGAGGCAGCTCTTTTCATCTACTGGGGGCTCAGCTCAGATCCAATAGCAAGCGTTAGGGCCAGAGCCACCTCCATGTCCATCGGTCATCATGGGGTGCCTTGGCTCGATCGGAGCACCTCCCCCAGTGTGCTTGTCCCTTCAGCTATATCGCCAGTCTGTGATTGCCCAGTGGAAAGCAATGAACTTGGATGTGCTGCTGACCCCCATGCTGGGTCCTGCTCTGGATTTGAACACACCGGGCAGAGCCACAGGTGAGGCCTACTGCCCCTCTGCTAATACCCTCATTCCCTGGCCCCTTCTAAGTTCAACCCTATGGCCTATGGAGCTATGGGGTAGAAGAGAAGTTCTGAGGGAACACAGCATCCATGGAGGAGCATCTTGCTCTTTTAGGCCTCACTAACTGTTGGCTAAAGAGATGGAAGACATGAGGAGAGAATGTGTTCTCTAACCTGAGCACTGTGTACGTCCGAGGTCTCCTTGCAGAGTCTGCAGTTTGAGGAGATGGTGTTTGAATCTAGGTGCGATTTAGATAATCCAAGAAAACAGGAACAACATTCCAGGTCAGGGAAACTGTGTGGGTAAAGGCACAGAGTAAGCATCAGTGAGTCTTGCTACCTTCTGTGCTTTACCACAGACCTCAGGCCTGGGAGAGGGGCTTGTCCCAGCTGTGGAAGCAGGGTGCTATTTTATGTGTGGGATAAGGGTGATTTAGGCCCAGAGAAGACAGTTGGCACTGCCGGTGCCAGGGCTTGCCACAGCCAGTGTGTTTTTTTCCAGGGGCTATCAGCTACACTGTTCTCTTCAACTGCCTGGACTTCCCTGCGGGGGTGGTGCCTGTCACCACTGTGACTGCTGAGGACGATGCCCAGATGGAACACTACAAAGGCTACTTTGGGGATATCTGGGACATTATTCTAAAGAAGGTAAAGCCTGCCTGTCCTCTAGCTCTCTGCTCCCCAGACCCAGCTGCTGTCGAGGACAGAGCCCTAACACTTACAGGTTTTGCCAGCCTTCGTTAACACAAGCCCCATGCCTACTCCTTGCCTTCCCCAGTGGAGCACAGGTACCCTGGCCCTGGGGTGTGGTCTCACTTCATGTCTCCCATCCTGATGTCAGTATCCCACCCATGCAGGCCATGAAGAAGAGTGTCGGCCTGCCTGTGGCTGTGCAGTGCGTGGCTCTGCCCTGGCAGGAAGAACTGTGTCTTCAGTTCATGCGGGAGGTGGAACGGCTGATGACTCCTGAAAAGCGGCCATCTTGAGGATCGTCCAACATTCAACTGCCCAGCTCTGGAGAACCGAGGGCCCATGTGCTCTGCACTACAGCCCCATCTATTCAGGATACTACCACCCATGAGGAAATGCCCAGAACAGGGAAGAGGTGTCCACCTGTCCTCCCTTGGACTCCTGCAGAAGCATAGGACATACCTTCCACAACCAAGTCTGGGGCTTGTTCCCCTTTTCTGGTCTACCTTCCATCCCGACTCCTACTTTATCTGACAGCCAGCAGGAATGACAGGGCTGAGAATCACCAACAGTCAAAAAAAAAAAAAACAATGTGTTTATGTATTTTCTGGGTATTTCTATTAGGGCCCTGGGAACCAGAGCCTGCTGAGAGGGCTGTGCTGATACTCCAGAGCTGGCTGTGATCACTCTCCCGCTCCAAAACCTCCCTAGGCCATCACCCACAAGGTAGACACAGGAACAATGTCCTTGGCACTTGACTCCTGCCAGCCCTTTCTTGTTCCGATTGGCCCCAGCTTTGATGAACACTGCCCCAGGCCACTCCTCTTCAGTCCACCTCTCTGCTGACTCTGCTGACACGCCCTTTTCACTTCTCTATTTGTTGTGAAGACAGGGTTTCTCTGAGGATCTCACTCTGTGGATCAGGCTGGCTCTCAGCCCACAAGGCTACCTGCCTGGGTGCTGGGATTAAAGGCATGTGCCACTACAGCCTGGCCTGATGGGATGATATCTTTTAGGGTCATCTCTGTAACCCATTTTCTACTTATCTATCCACAAATCAGAACACTGGATGGAGGAAGGAGTATGTCACCCTGGATACATGCCAGGGAACATTTTTAGAGACAGCAGTGTCATCAATTTGAGCTTCCCTGCCAAGTATGTCTCTGGTCTGTGTTTTGTTAGCTTGCCAGTATTGGCCTGGCTTCCAATGTCTCCTCCATGTAGGTCATAGTGGTGACTTGGGATACCTCAAGTGAGTGAGACCACTTGTGGTCTGGGCTCTGTAAGGTTTATCATTGTATGCCTAGTACCCAGCATGGCACCTGGCACTTAGTGGATAGCCAGTGCAGGCTTGTTGGAGGGATGGCAGATCTATTCCTAGTGAATCCATTTTGGCACCTTCTGATTATTTTCTTATGTCATCTATGATGGGAAATTTCCCAGTTTTTATCTGACCTGCTACCTTTGTCTAACCCACTTTCTTTACTTTGATTCATGACTACAAGGACAAATATCTCCTTGTCTGTGATCAACCTAGAGCTTTCTCCTGGTCTAGAAAGCTGCATGCATCAACTTCCACCAACCCTCAGCCCCTCTGCCCCTTCTTTCATCCAGCCCATAAGCACATTGAATTCCTCCCACAGTATGCTCAGGGTGATCAAACAGAAACAGCCCCTGCTTGAATGGTTTTTCATTCTACCAGCAACTGTGTAATTACACCGCGTGTCCCAAATACTATAAAGCAGAAGTCTCTGGGTATGATGACATCAAGTAGGTTACCTGGCCTGCAGGTAATGTGTGCAAGAGTAGTTGTGTCAGGGAGTGTGAAGTGACATGTAAGTTGGAAAGCGCATGGTCAGTGAGAGCCAAGGAACCGGTATTTCAAGAAGAGCGGAGTCAAATGCTGCTAAAGTAACAGGATGAAGACAGGTGAGGGGAGGGATGGCCGTCGTTGAATTGAGTGCCTACTGTTTGCCAGACACTTTACAAAAGGCTGCCAAGGGCCTTGCTTTTAGGGAGCTCATTTTCAAGAGCGGGGGAGCATGCAAATAAGAGCATGAATAAAATAATTTCTGCTGATAAGCGTAAATAAATAAAAAGGTGTGGTAATGGGGCTTACAGCCCGAGGAAGGGTGAGGGAGCAAGGTCCAGGTCCCCCAGGGTGTGGTGCAGCTGTCACATGGCCTTCCAGAGGGGCCCGAGGGCATCACCAGACAGTGTTTGAAATGGAACAGCTTAGGATACCAAGAGGTAGAAGGATGGACCGGGACAAGCTCTGGAGCTGTCTTGAAGGTGATTTGGCATCTGCTTCCAAGTGATTTGAGGCTCAGATCCAACAGTGTTAGCCACAAATTTGACTCTTGTATCTCCTGACTTCCAGATGTTGAGGATAGTCACTGTTCCTTTGGTCATAGTCACACTGACTAGCTTATGGATGGCTATGCTGTCTCCTGAAACAGATTGCATTGAAACATCAGGGACAACATCAGGGTTCCTAATTCGAGTCCCCTATGTCCTGCTTCTGGCTCTTACAGCTTCCCCTCTCTTCCCACAGACCTTTTCTTTACTGGGAGACCCAGCAAATAGGGAGGCTGGATCCCTAGATCCTAGCTGACTGCCTTAGTCTTTACTCTCTTGGGTCATTTCCCCAGGGCAGTTGTGGGATAGACCTGAGGAGTCTGTCCATCTCCTAGTGATTTTGTCCTCCATCTCCACTCAGACAAGAACCTAGTCAACACACTCTCCTGACCACATTCACCCAGCTCCATTCTGAAAATGTTTGCTGAGCAGCGTGTAGAGACTTGAAGGTAACCGGACAGCCATGGCAGCTGGCTGGCCGGGATTGATTGACAGATGAAAATGGGCTCTGGGTGCATCATATCATAATCCTTCCTGGGTGGAGGAGAGAAGGCAAGGAAAAGGAGCGATGAGACATAGCCTTGGATCTGCTGTGTGCTCTAGAGCATGTGATGGCCCTCTCTGGGCTTTGGGCTCCCCAGTTTGGAGTCCTCAGTTTGAGTAGCACACTCCCTCTGGGAAACCAATGGGGATAGGGGTTGGAGATAGTGTCAGAGGTATGGAGTCCCGTGTACTGAAGATCCAGAGTGTCCTCTGCTGTCCCCTCTTGGTGATTGATGGCCCCAATGGGCAGCTTCTCTGCCTGAGCTGCCGCAGTTGCTGAGAATGTGTATTAATATTAATTGGGACTAATTAGTTGGATAAATCAATCCACCCCCAGAGAGCAGCAATCCCTCCCAGACTGATGAGCAGGAAGTCTGGCTAATGGGGCTGCTGTGGCGAATCCGCGTGATGGAGAGGACTCCTGGATTGCTGAGGCCCCATCTGTGGACAGTGGAGGCCTAGGAACCATTACTGTGAATGCCGCATGTGCCTCCTGCTGGAGCTTCACTGTGCTGTGGTAGAGCAGTGTGTGTGTCTGCACGTGTGTGTTTGTCTGCATGTGTGTGTGTGTGCACGTGAATGGCTGCATGCAGCTTGCGCCTGTGTGTGCAGTGGTGTGTGCACCTGAGTGTACTATACAGCAGTTTCCTCTGGTTGAAACATTTCCTGTAGAAGGGAGGAGAGGGGCTCATGAAGCTTGGGAGGTAAACAGACCCCGTGGAGTCTAGACCAGCTATGACTTGAGAGATTCGTGAGGCCCCCCGCTCTCCAGAGTTATCGAAGCAGTAAACAGCTGCTCAGGAGAAGGCTGACGAGAGTCCTCTCAGACTTGTAAAGCTTCCTGCAGGTTGTGCAGAGAGCTCCAGGGTCGCAACTTTTTTGAGTCATCACCTGTGTTGGGTGGGCTTCTTAGTGACGCAGCTGCTTTTGCATCATCCCTGTGACACGTCACCCACAATCCTGTAGTAACCCTGATAAAAACTCACTGGTCCACAAAGTTAGACTTTAGTGAAATTGTTATTTTAGTCTACTGTGGGCTCTCTCTTGGTGTGAGTAGATGTGTATGAGTTGTGTCTGCCCAGGAAAAGTCTCTGACGCAACAGTTTGTTGTGTTACTTCCTGGAGTGTATATGTCTTGATGTGTATAACTGAGGTTGATCTGAATGTTTGCCAAATGTATAAAATGTCTGATAATTGGGAACAGCTGATTCCATGTGGGATTTGACACCTGGTTGGTGTGCATATAGGCATTGGGGTGTACAGCTACCAGCTGGTTAGTCACTGGGATGTGTGTCTGGTTGGCTGGAGGAGAGGAGGGGCTTAGAAGAGTTCATCCATCTCTCGGCTCATACCTGCAAGCTTCTTGGCCCTCAGCATCTTGTTCTCCCTACAACAAAGCCACAAAGGTCTGCCCTGGATGGCTTCCCAGTCTGATCATCCTCCAATGGGAGTGCCCTTAAGACCTCAAATATGCAGCTTGATGTCCCAGGAAAGGAGGAAAGTCAAAGCCTCAAACAACTGCTATTCAGCTCAGTGTTGCAAAATTTCACAGGACTCTGGTCAATCTACCCAGGAGATTTCTCTGGGTCGTTCTTTGTTCTGGTCCCCATATTCATTATAAAGATGAAAGCAGGTAAAACACCTGCCATGCAAGTGTAAGAACCTGAGTTTGAATCCCCAGAAGCTGTGTAAAGCTGAGTACCATAGCACATTCTGTAATCCCAGCACTCCTGTGGCAAAATGGGGGATGAGAGACAAGAGAATCCCATAGTCACTCTGGCCAGCTAGCGTGGCGTCTGTAGTAGAAAACCAGCTCTCTCCCCCAGGCTGGTCTCAAACTCTTTGGTCTTGGTTCAAGCAGTCCCTTTGCCTTCTCAAGTCCCTAGCTGGGGACACACCACAATGTCTGGCTTGAGTCTTTCTCTTTGAGACCAGTGATCTTTCCTTTGGGATGAGTCCTCTCCCTCTGCTTTTGCTCAACCAATAGCTATTATACTCATAGGTTTCTGGTTCTTCCCATATAGCTTAGCGTTTGCAGTCAGGCATCTGTGACGTCAGCTAAATCTGAGCAGTTTTGGTAGTGTGTTATAATAAATGGTGTTGACTCCCTGAGAGGTTATATAAAGTGGCATTGTGGCCTCTGTGTCTCCATCTCCCTGTACTGAAATTCCAAGTTAGACACTAATATTTTAAAGAATTCCTTTGTGCCTTTATTTACTCATCTCGCTAGTGGGGGAGTTTTCTTTATAGTGTTTTAAAATGTATCCTGTGAGGAGGCAAAGAGAAGCTCCTTCAGTAAGTGCCTGTCTTAGGATTCCATTGCTGTGAAGAGACACCGTGACGACCACAGCTACTCTTATAAAAGAAAACAGTTAGTTGGGGCTAGCTTACAAATTCAGAGGTTTATTTTGTTATCATCACGGTGGGAAGCATGACAGCACATAGGCAGATATGGTGCTGGAGAAGGAGCTGAGAGTTCTACATCTGAATCAGTAAGCAGCAGGAAGAGAAAATGACACTGGACCTAGCTTGAGCTTCTGAAATCTCAAAGCCCACCCTTAGTGATACACTTTCCCTAACAAGGCCACACCCACTCTGACAAGGCCACACCCACCCTGGCAAGGCCATACCCACTTCGGCAAGGCCACACCTCCTAATAGTGCCACTCCTTCCTTCAAACCACTACAATGCCTAAGATAGAACCAGAGGATTATAGCTCCAAACTCCAAGAGCAAGTAGCTTACACAGCTCAAGCCTTTAGAAGCCAGAAACAGGTAGGGTATTGAGGTGTACACCTGCAATCCCAGCACTCTGTAGGGGCTGAAGCAGGAGATCGGCCCAAGGAAGAGAGTATAGTCCTAGGGGAGGGTCTAGGATGGGAGTGGTGGTGGTGAGGCCCAGGTAGAGCCAAATGAGTCAGAAGTACTACAGCATTTTAGCCGTTGGCACAGCCAGTGAGGAGGCTAACAGAACCAGAGATGGGCATTGTAGACAGGAGCAAGGATGACAGAGGGAGGGATAGGAAGGAGGCAGAACCTTCGTGGGGAATGCACAAGGTGTTATGCTCATCTATTTGAACACTTGGT